TCTATGTGCTTCGTCCTGGAATGATGTACCGAATTCTTTGCTAAAGGTTTTGCACTCAGGTTATCACCATACAACGTCGTTGAATTTCTAACATCACCGCATCCGATCTCGATGATAATTCTCCTTCAGTGCAATGCCTCTTTAGTAGCGGACAACATCGCCAAATATTCCGCCTCTGTACTGCTCAACGCAAAACAACCATGTTTTTATGACTTCCAGGAAATTGCACCACCAGCCAGAAAGAACATGTAGCCGGTATAAGATATACGATCGATCATATCCCTAGTCTGCATCAGCGTAACCTATTAGCGCTTGACCACACGCACTGTATTGCATCTTCAAATCTACCGTTGATACCAAATACCTCAGGGCATTTTCGACCCCCGCTAAATGCTCACAATGCGGTTCTTTGTTTCTTTGCGCCAACTTGGCCACCGAATGAAAGATTTCACTCGTGCGAAGACTTAACAGCTTTTTATATAGCGAAACCTTCCTTACCGGACCAGAAAAAAAATTAGAAAACTTGACATAATTTTTAATTTAGATTAATTTTCACTGGGACTTTAACCCGAGCCTTCCCAAAGGCTGTACGCAATGCTAACCACTCGGCTACCGCGGCAGCCAAAGTACTATATTTCAACATATTATATATAATTGGCGATCCTGCTTATCAAATTTTCCATAAGTTGCATGTAAGATACAATTTCAACAGAATTTGTGAACAATAAATAACAGTTTAAGTAACATCAACGCATCGCAGCTATAAAATAACAAATACAATTCAATTTCGTCAATCCAACGGAGGACATATATTAAATAAATAAATAATGACTAATGAAATGAGACGATATTTTTAAAATGGAGGGGGAGTAAATGTAGGAATCTACTTTTACAATTTGTAACCAGTTATTTTGTTTGAAATTAATTTTACTTAATTTTCGACTTTAAATATTTTCATTTTCTAAAACATTACAGTTTTCATTCTTCAAAGAAGCTGTTATTTAATCAATTTTATTTAAAAAATAATATATTTAATTTTTTTTAAGATATATAAAAATATAGATACTTTTATCCACTTTTACAATTGCAGCTAGTTAGTTTCAACTTTTCAATTTTTATGTTTCTTTCATTTTTGGATTTGAAATATTTTAATTTTTTTGAAACACTAAATTTTCATTTGAAATTTATTTTATTTAAAACAAAATTAAAGTTTTTTTTTCATAATTTGTTTTGCGGCTATGATATATATTAAGCTTATTACAAAGCTTTTAGTGGTTTGTTTGTATGAATTGAATATTTTTTGTTATATAATAATAAAATTAGAAGGGGGAAAACAGCGGTTAAATTAGCGCACTTAATTGTTGTTGGTTAATAATGAATTGAATAATACCAGATAAAATTACACGGCTGAGGTTGACGCAGTGGAGCATTCCTGTTAAGTTACGATCCGTTGGTTTGATCCTTGCCGCAAGAAATCATACAAAAAAGCAGGCCATTCGCTTATTAAAAACTTATAACATATACAAGTTTATATTAAAAATTCATTAATATTTAGATAAACATATCTATAGTCTGTTAGTATTATATTCATATATAATGAGAGAAACCGGGTGTGAATTCCGCAGCCCACTCTTCCACCGAGCAAAAGAAAGATGTTGAGAAGTGTTAGCTCCCTGAGGGGTGCCATTTGTTGTATGTCTGGGCATGGTAGCGCTGCCCACTCTGGGAAGATAATACTGTTTCTCAGAAAATACTTTTCATTGAGGTAATACACCCAACCCACCCTGACCATTTGCTTTATATCTTAATAGTCGCTTCGATGTTTTGTTTTTCGTACCCTTTATTATTTTGCAGCACCTTCTAGAGCTTCTTCTGAAACGACCATTGCTGTAGAGAATAAGATAGTTAACAGCAAAAAAAGAAAATCCAAATGAAAGAACGGATGTAGAAAGATATCTTAGACGAAAATCGATATATATCAATATATTTTAGAGAAGCAAACTCTAACAACCTCGCCAACAAAGTAATTGTGTTAGTTGGCAAAAATAACTTCCACTTAGTTCCAATTAAAAAGGGTAATATTCATGAAGGAAAAATTCAGACACACGGAAAAGATTGCTACCGTAAGATAATTTCGAGAAGGATACGAAACCATTGTATACCTTGCAACTAAAAATCAATAAAAGCTTAAACGTTGTGCTTAAAGGCATTGAACATACTGTGAGTCCATCAGAAACAGAAAATGCCTTGAAAAAAAGATAGTTTCAAATAAAAAGAATGTCAACATATCAGTGTTCGAAGTTGATATTGAGACAGATTTTGAGCTAGTTAAAAAGGGGGGAAGTTCAATCCATTTTCGAACTGTGGTACTTTCTTTTCCATCGTATTTGGTAGAGGGTCCTGCTCAGTGCCATAAGTTGGTTATAGGAAGCGTTATTGTGCCTTACTAAGCCGTTATTTGCAGTTGCGGTAAAAATTATACTGTCAATTATAGATCTTCCTAAAGGGACATGTAATGAAAAAACTCTTGTAATGACCTTGCTTCTCGGCCTCAAGCAACAGCTACACAAAAATTTTTTACCTGCACCAACTAATCCCGTCCCATCCGCAAATTCACTTGAAAATAGACTAAACTACTTTATGATGGAAAATCGCATGACGCTCAAGCAAAGTATCAATATATGAAACTCATTTCAAAAAATTTCACAACTGCAATATTGACGGATTTATGTTTAATGATACCCCAAACGAAAGCCCTCGGCGGACTGGGAATTTTTGCAATGAGGAAAAATAAACATAAATTAAGGAGTATTGCAAGGACTATGTCCATTTCCCTTCTGTTCGCATGATAACATATCTGAAACACATTTTAATGATTTCTATTCTAAGTAAAAAGTTCTTAGCAGCGAGTGATTACAATGCAAGCAATTCTTTCTGGGGATCGAGGCTAAAATCAGTGAGTGCTTACAATTCTTTCTGAGGATTCAGGCCAAAATTTCCAAAGGGTACAAATTTATACAAAACCTTTCAGTAAAACTTCTAAAGTAATTTGTGGTATTAATAGGGCATAGGATAATCCGTTCAACTGCATTCTTCTTCAATTATGTACAAAAAAAAACATGCATATGTGTTAGTGCTGCCCGAAATCGTTTGAGTGTATTGCAGGGTTTTAATCCGCCTGTTGCAGGCACATTCTAAAATAGGCAGTTGAAAGAACGAAAACGTGTTTAAAGGGAAGGTTAATTTTAACAGGCACTCGAAAAACGGCCCTTATGCTGCAACTACCCAACGCGCGTACCAGCTGTCCATAGTAACCTATCTTATGAGAGCGCCATGTAAACACAAAGTTGTCACCGCTTGCCCATGCCTTTAGTGACGGTTGTTCCGCAGAAACCAACGAAGATTTTATTTTTTCCGTAAAACCGGCTCGACTCATTTTTCGTTGCTATACAAGGTTGACAGTATAGCCTTTCTTAAAGTAATATTAAATAATCGAAGATAATGCGTAGTTTTGTTCAAAAGAAATGAAAAAAATGCGTAACTAATTATTTGTTACTATATAGATCATGTATATTTGCCTTGTGTTTATGTTCAAGCAAATAAATTATGAAATTTGTTGACGAAAATTATGAATTTGTTCAAAAGTGTGCAAACACACTGGCAGCTGGCAACATTTCGCCGCTCTCAGCATCGTCGATAACTCGTGTGTGAGTGAAATGGGCTGGTAAGTGAAATGGGTAGTTGCAGCCTTAGAATGTGGTTCTTAAATTATTCAGGCGGTCAAAGCACTGCCCTGCAAAACGGCTTCCGATCATTTGAGAAACCATACTCGTATGTCAGGAATGCACGATGTCATATCCCGTTCGTTCGTTGAACGATTTCCCCATCACTTTCTTAAGGCGAAATGACTAATTTGCGTTGGCGCCATTCTTGTCAGATAAACAGAACACAGCTGAGTGATAGCACTGATACCAAAAGAGAACAATATTGACGTAAAAAACGCAGCAGTAACGTACGAGCCAAATGAGCGACAGCCTTAATAAAGAACTATCTCAGCTTACAAAAATGCTCCCTACAAAAATTACATACATATAAACATTTTAAGATTCAGTGTTTATTCCAATATTTTACATAAATCATGTAACAATACAGCAATAAATTCGTTTTCAAAAATCCTTAAAATGTTGTAAGCAAAACCGTATGTGCGGAAGTTTTGAATAGTGCCACGCCGTCATAATCGTGAGCCTTTTGAAGTTTAAAGGCTTCTGCCATTTGTTTGCAAATTCAATTTTGAATATCTCAAATACTATAGGTCTCCGGTAGGTTTGGTTTTCGGTTGCTGAGATAGACTGGAACCTTTTACCACCGCCTATAACTTATTTTCCCAAAGCCTGGAACCATTAAGGAAAAGCATTTCTGTCGTTTTTCTCGAAAATAAGAAATAATTTAAAACGGATAATCCGTTCAACTGTATTCTCCTTAAATTTATTTGGAGAAAGAAGAAAAGAAAAAAATATGAGTATGTGTTAGTGTGGCCCGAAATAGTATTAGTGTATTAGTAAACCCATCAGGTCGTTCTTGCAATTTTTTTTCGACAGCGACATTCGTTCTGTTTGCAAAGAGATTTTAAAATTTACTTAGTTTATTTTACAAATCGAAAATAGAGGGGTATTTTATAGTCATGAGCTTAAGGAACGGTTAGAAAAAGACCTCTGTGCGCCAAATTTTTCTATTTATTTATGTTTAGAATAGCTGAGTTACGTGTTCCTCTTCTTCTTCCTCTTCGTAATACTGCCATCTCTTAATAAATATTTAACAGGAGGTCGACAAAATTAAATTTAACTATCTGTCCCGCGATCCTCACAAGATCATGCACACGAAAAAGTCGCTCTTAGGGTAATAGTGGTGTTTAAGCATTTAAGGAACTTGTGAACCTGTACTAATTCATCTTCTGCAGAAATGAAACAGACTGCCAACTTTTGTTTAGAGGCAAAAAATTTTATCGTTTATATTGGTGCTTAAGTTTATTAGCGTGTGACGCGTTCATTTCATTTCATTATAATGTACGTCGATTTATTGATACCGGAAATCTGAAATACTTAGAAATAGCCTTCGCTGGTATTTCGTAACTTTGATTTAGTCCATTGTTTTGAAAGTTAATAACTTAAATAGGTAAATATTTTTTCTTGTGTAACCTATATTATTACATGTGCAACTCTTTGGTAGAGAATATGTTTTAACTGAGCAGGTCAATTATAATTGATGGTGCGCAACAGAGACGGATGTATGTACGAGTGTACAATTTTTCTGCACGGTGGATGATGGAATTGTAGAATGGTCGGTAATAGGATAATTTTTTTTTTTTTTAAGAAAATTTGCTATTGCGGTTTTGTGTTTTGTCATTGAAGTGTAGTCTCAGTGAAGTATTACAATAGCAGTGCTTTTTTTTATTATATTGGTATTGAAAGCATCCTGACTACTGCTAAGTACATGTTATATTTTTTTCGAATATGTATTTATTCATGTAATTGGGAAGACAAGTTACACGTTTGTATCTTATGGCACTAATTCATGTATTTCTGTCTTCAAGGAAATATTGCACATGCTCGGAGATTTATTTAAATTTGTTTTCAAACAAGAGAAGGAGGCCACTGTCAATATTCAGGTATGTAGTGGGTGACGTTTTCATTAAATTTTATTTTAGCATATGCAAAAAGCTTAATTAAGTACTGATTTACAAAAGTAGGTTATACTCATTCCCAAATTTATTTTTAAACGCGATATATGTCAGAGAAATGAAGATAATGGGTTGATTTCGCTTCGAAATTAATGTTTATTTTTAAGATGAAAATTTTCATGGTTTATGGTAGGTCTCCAATTAGCTTATAATTTTAATATAAGTGGTATACATATATATATATATATAGTTTAACGCCTATTGGTATGAGTTTATTACTAACGCTTTAAGCGTTTGGCTGAAATTATAAAAGTTATATATAGTTATAATATATTAACAATTAAAGATACACTTTTTCATACTGGATTCTGCGTTTATTTTACTAAAGAACCGTGAAACTATACTAAAAACTTTGGTTTTTCCTAATGAAATTAAATGCTGGATTAGTAGAAGGATGTCTACAATTATCAAAAGTGTAAATTATATTGCGCGCAATTGACAGTTTAAAGTTATTACCATTTAGAGTTACTATTACTTACAACCGGGGGTTAAGTTGTCACTCCAAATAAAATACAAACTAACAATCATGGGTGGTGCAGATACAGATTGATGTCAGAAATAGAATTTGTGTTCATTTTAGGTGTTACAGAAACTGATTCGTCGGCTTAAATGTCAGAATTAAACCAAGCAGATATTCGTTGATGGAATTTTGAGCAAATTTCTTGGTAAGCGGCAATTTAATAAAAATATAAGTCATGTACTATAGATTTTACAGCCAGCATTGCCTGAAATACGGTACTTGATGTAAAAATGGTCAGGAGCTCTCTTTTTTCCATTGTGGTACATTCCTAAAATTATCCAGTGTGAACCTTCTGCTAAAAACCGTAGTTTGGCTGAAAGTTGGAGCACATGTGGGATAGAAAGTGACATCTACTATTATAAACATCCACTATTACAAAGGTTTTTTTGTTAAGACTATATTAGCCTGTGAATCTACATACAAACAAATTTTGTATCAGCTAATGTAAAAGTAGAATGCAAATTACTCTAACGTCGACTTTGGCAGCTCCAGCGGATTGTTATTATCCCTTACAATTTTGCGTTTTATTTTCTGGATTATTTATCCAAATTCTTCTATCATCAAAAATGTTATCATTGCCGAAGTCATTTTAGTTTTAATAATCACAAGCTGATTCGAATATCTTGATAAACAAAGTCGGTCTCATAAAACCATTTTAATTCCGATAAATAACCTATTCTGCGGTCCTGGTTCTTCCGCCAAAGCAATATCGACGTTGTCATGCTCCGTGAGATGACTTTCAAAGCGGCTATCAAATGGCGGTTCAATTTTAAGTTTGACGTAATTTTTCCTGATTTATATGCTCTCTGTGCCTGACCAGCACTGGCTTCTTCTTTTACAGTATATTTAACTGAAACACTTTCGAAAATTATCTGCCTCCGTGCGCTCTTTAAAATATAACCCTGAGCATGAAAAAATCTTATTAAGAACAATCAAAGTAGCAAAACACCTGTTTAAAATAACGGCTATTAATATTTCTGGGCCACATTTGATATTATTTAATTTATAGATTATTGTTACAAAGAGCGGAAACACCTTCACGAATGTGCATATGTTTTGCACAAGATGTAATTTTTAATGTTTATTTAATTTATCAAGTGGATGGAAAGTATTCAAAATAGTTTTTTTTTGCATTTTTTGTATTAAAAAAAAAAAATTAATTGACTGTTGCCAAACTTGGTACTATTTTCGTGAATTTAACCATAATCACCTTCAGTATAAATGAATTCATATATTTCTCTTTCCAGTAAATCAAATCTTATACAGTTGCGTTCTTGTACAAATATTCCTGGAACTCTAAAAGGTCTAAGAGGATTCAAGAAAAATCCATCATTTTCAACCATAATATCAAATCTATTAAAGAAGAGTAGTATCCTCGCAGCAAAAATGACCTTACCAAGTGCTGCCCGAGTGTATACAGATGTAAACGCACATAAACCAGATGAGTATTGGGACTACGAGAATTATGTAGTTGATTGGGCTAATCAAGATGACTACCAATTAGTTCGTAAGCTGGGCCGTGGTAAATACTCGGAAGTATTTGAAGCTATAAATATCACAACAACAGAAAAATGTGTTGTTAAAATTCTCAAACCAGTAAAGAAGAAGAAAATTAAGCGAGAAATTAAAATTTTAGAAAATTTGAGAGGTGGAACTAACATAATTACATTATTGGCGGTAGTAAAAGATCCCGTCTCCCGAACACCCGCTTTAATATTTGAGCACGTAAATAACACTGACTTCAAACAATTATATCAAACTTTGACGGATTATGAGATTCGTTATTACTTATTTGAACTGTTAAAGGCTCTGGACTATTGTCACAGTATGGGTATCATGCATCGGGATGTTAAGCCACACAATGTTATGATTGATCACGAGAATCGCAAATTACGTTTGATAGATTGGGGACTGGCAGAGTTTTATCACCCAGGTCAGGAGTATAATGTGCGCGTAGCTTCTCGATACTTTAAAGGACCAGAGCTACTTGTGGACTACCAAATGTATGATTATTCATTGGATATGTGGTCTTTAGGCTGTATGTTGGCTTCCATGATTTTTCGAAAAGAACCGTTTTTTCATGGACATGATAATTATGATCAATTAGTACGCATTGCTAAGGTGCTAGGTACAGAAGAATTGTATGCCTATCTAGACAAGTATAACATTGAATTAGATCCACGTTTCCACGATATCTTACAGCGGCACTCTCGCAAGCGATGGGAGAGGTTTGTGCATTCGGATAATCAGCATCTTGTTTCACCGGAGGCCCTTGATTTTCTTGATAAACTTTTGCGTTATGACCACGTGGAAAGATTAACTGCTCGTGAAGCGATGGGACATCCATATTTTTTACCAATTGTTAACGGACAAATTAAATCTAGTAACCAGCAATAAAATGAAATGCTGCAACTGGATTTATCGGGATCAAATGCTTGAATACAGTTTTGAATAACAGTTATGGAGCCAAAATATGCAAGCTAATATAAAAATTAACTGAGTTCGTTTTGACTTAAGAGGAGATAATACATTAATACATTTTTAATAAAACATGAAATTATACATAATATATTTAATACAATAATAATAAAATATAATATGAAACTCATTGTTTTCATTATATATATTTTAAAATGGCTATTTAGGTTAGAGCCATGCAGAAGTATGATATGAGAACACATACTATGACATACATGTGTGAAAAGAAAATCGATGTTTGAGAAATATATTTTGAAGAAAAAAACTTCAAAATTGCAAATCACGCGCTCAAAGTTTTTAATATGAAGTATCTAATGATTCTTATTTTTCGGATTCGTTGTTGTTGTTGCTGTTGTAACGATTGGCCGAACCCGCTTAGGGATTGGTTTAATCAATCTAAGTCGCCTAGGTCATGTAATGGGTGGTCTAGAAAACGTGCTGTTTCGACGTTATTGGAACAGAGGAAGAGGGGGTTAGATGTCTCGGCTTAGTGGGGCATGTAAAGAGGTGGTTAGTGTCGTGCGGAGACTCCACATGCAGGGCTTACGTTGGGTATGCTGGGGCCTAGTCTGGATAGGTAGGAGTTTAACCTGCTGCAGTATCCAAGTTGTGTCCCTACTGTAGCATCCCAATAGGAATTCCTTGCACAGCAAAACATGCTCCTTAACTCGTAGCATAGATGCTTCGCTTTGCAAGTGTTGTTCCGGTGACATCAGGAGGTTTCCTGTCACGGTCCTGAGGGCGGTGTTCTGGCAAACCTGTAGCTTCTTCATCTGCGTCTCGATCGTCCCCGGAGCCCAGATCGGTGCAGCATAGTTTACGACCGGCCGACCAACTCTCACGGTTCTAAGCACCGGAGTTGACCCGGATTTTATCCGGCCAAGGGCTGTCACCCTTTCGGCGACCTAACCCTCTTTAGGTCAACAGGTAACTTTAGTCTAAGTTCGCCAATGGAGCAACACCTTGCAGTTGGGTTGCTCCAAATCCTTCTGATCACGGCTGGTGTCGAAACCAACCCTGGACCGACGGACTATTTCTGCTGCGTGTGACACAGAAGACTCCACCATTCCTCCACCTCGGTTAGGTGCAACCAGTGCAATGGTTGGAGTCACCATAAGTCCTGCTCAGGCCTTAAGACTCACTGGGTATGGACCACGAGGTATGTGGCCCCATGCTGGCCAGACGCCATTATCGTGCAATCATCGGCATAAGAGGTTAGGGAAACTCCTTCTGGTGGTGGAGGGAGTTTCGAGTTGTAGAAATTAACAAGTAGCGGGGAGAGGACACTACCCTGCGGAACCCCTGTTTAATTTTCCTCGGGTTAGATGTTGCACCTCGGAATATTACCGATGATTGCCGACAACTCAGGTAGACAATGACTCACCTCTGCAACCCCGACGACAATGAGGATTCCTCAATGTCCGTTAGTAGCACTGAGTGATTGACTGTGTCAAAAGCTTTCGACAAGTTCAATGTTAGCAGGACAGTTCGCGCGCAGGGTCGGTTTTGGTTAAGGCCATGGACTATCTGGGTGTTTATGGCGTTTAGTGCTGTTGTGGTACTGTGCACTTTTTGGAAGCCATGCTGATACGCTGCAGGACGCAGATGGTGAGTGAAAGTCGGGAGAAGTAACGCCTCAAGTGTCTTTGCTTCTGGGAAGAGAACAGTTATCGGCCGAAAAAACTCTCCTTTGGTGGCTGGTTTCCCCGGTTTGAGTAGCGGGACCATCCTACCCATTTTCCACACATCGGGTATCTTTAGGGCGGTCAGAGATAAATTGAGGTTCATCGTGAGAAAGTGCTGCCGTTGGTCCGAGATGTTTTAGCGTCAGCAAGCTTATTCCGTCGGGGCCGATGGATTCGGAGGCTTTCGGCTTCCCGACGTCCCCCTGAACGTCTTCCCTGGAGAAATCAAGCACCGCGCTGGTGTTTGGCAGTTTGCGCATACGACGGGTTACACGGGATGCAGTGTGAAAAGTCGGCTAAACTAGCTCGCGCATCTCTTCGGGTCCGACGAGGCGCGATCACCGAATGAAATTTCCACCCGATCATCGCCTCTCTTCGGGTTAGACAACGACTTCACTGTACCCCAGAGCTTGGTTACCCCAGGGGAGAGGTTGCAATTCCTTAAGTGTGAGTCCTAATGCCTGAGCAGACCTTAAGGTGATTCCAAGCATTGCACTGGGTGCACCTAACCGAGGTGGAGGAGTCTTGTTTGGCATACGCAGCAGAAATAGTCTTCCGGGCCAGAGTGGGTCAGCCTTGGTGAGAAGGATTTGGAGCAACCCAGCTGCAGGGAGTTGCTCCGTTGGTGTACTTAGGTTAATATTGTTACCTGTTGACCCAATCGGGGTTAGATCGCCTAAAGGCTGACAGCCCTTGGCCGGATAAAATCCGGTGCGTAGAACTGGCTGTCTTGAGAGTTGGTTATCGTTGCTTGATTGGTTTAATTGGTTGTCTGGCATCAGCTCTCAGCTCAAAGTTTTCCATGGAGGCGAAAGTGGGAGGGAAGTGCCCTTTCTCTCAAGCTTGTCCGCTATCTCATTACCCAGTTTGCTACTGTGTCCATATACCTATACAAAGCTCAGAGAGATCTGCTTAGCCATCGCGTTAAGTGACGGCGCTTGCGGTCCCGAAAATTTCTATCATTTATAACTCCATAATTATATGTAGTAATCGGGTTTTTCTGGATGACGTGGTTTATTACTATCCATTCAGATACCTTTTGTAGCCTTACCGCGTGGCAAGCAGCATTGTGTAGTCCCATTATGTTAATAGGGAGTAGATCCAGGAGAACATTCATAACTGTAGCTGGTTTGGTACAGAGTGATCTGCTAATGCACAGGAGCACTGCCCTCTGCACTCTCGAATTTAGAAATAATAGATTTTTTCCAATGAGCTGGTCACCTTACTTTGGGTGACATGCGCCATTTCCAGTCCATCTAGCCTTTGCTGGTATAGAGGGCAGTGGACGTCTTACGCACTCTTTACTCTGAGCTTTGTGAGTATCTTAATTTTCAGTCTAGTATGAGTTCCAGGTATTTTGTAAACTCTGTAAAGCGCCGGTTCGTTCCTGACAGCGTTGGTGCTGAAAATTTAGAAATTTTATATATCGAGGTGAAAAGAACAAGTCCTATTTTCTATTTGTTGATGCTCAGAGCAGCGTCAGTAGCCAACTTTTCTATCTGCTTGAGTCCGTTTTGCATAATATCACACAACATTCACCAGAACCGACAGAGCGTCCGCCACATACCAGTATACAAAATAAAGCTGCAGAGAGACTTTACTACAGCTAATCGGTATAAAGCTGTAATAACAAAACAAGACAACCCACTTTACAATATCGTTAAGAACCTCAAAAAGAGGAAAAATCTCCTTAAAATTAAACCTGCCTTAAGTAGAATTATAGAACAATGCTCTCTCAATTGCGAATGCGAATTACCTTCATTCAAACGGCAAGCAGTTTGATTGTTTTCGGATTCGCTTATTTGTTCCATTTGAAAACGTATGGAAAATAGAAGATTTTAGTAGAAGTTAAAAAAGTCTTGAATTGAATTGGTAATGTAATACCAATTCCTTTGATAATTTCTAATTTTTTTCTTCTTTAATATACAAATAGTCTTTGGTTTCAAATCAATGTTTGTGTGTAAGTGTCTTCCTTTATGATTCTCCTCTCTTTTGTTTTGATTTCTCAGCTGATTTCGATAAAATTTCGATAAGAATTCGATTCGATTTGGTCGTAATTTGCATGGCAATTGAGAACGATTCAACTACTGTAATTACCTCACGAAAATTTGTATGGCGGATTAAATAATTCGGCATATATTTGGAGTGCGAATTACTATAGAGAGACCGAAACACGTAATTGGGTTGTCGTGGAAATGCCGTATTATTTGCGATCCGAAAATCGTTACACCATCTTAGAGAATAGTAAATATCGTTAAAATTATCGCTAATCCTGCAACTCCACCTTACATACCTTCCATTCAAAGCAGTCAATATTATGTTAGTTATTAATACTGCTATAAACAGTGCACCTTTGTCACCGAACCATTCTGCTCCTAGACGTACAAGTAACAACGGAGCATCTGAGGCTAAAATAAAAAACAGTATAACCGCCATAAATCCAAAAACAAAATCTCCAAGAGACGATCATGCCTCACCAAAAATGCTAAAAGAATTGCCAAGCATTGCTCCCGTTTTTTTTTTCAAAGCTTTTCACAGCCATTTTAATGTTAGGATATTATCCACAAATATGGAAAAGGTCGCAGATAATTATGATAGCTAAACCACGTAAAGACCCAACTAACCGTCATCATATAGACCAATCAGCCTGTTGTTTCGCCTATTCAAACTTTTCGAACAAGTGCTGCTATTAAAAAATACTCCTTTTCTCCATCAAAATGATATTATTCCTACACATAAATTTGGTTTTCGGGAAAAACACGGTACAATTGAACAAGTAAATCGTACTACAAATGAAATAAGGAAAGCTTTCGAATTGAGATAGTTTTGCTCGGCCGTTTTTCTTGATGTGGCGCAAGCATTTGACAAAGTGTGGTATGATAGCCTCATTCATAAAATTTAAAAAAAATCATTACTTAAAACTTTCCACAATATTTTTGAATCCTACTTATCCAACAAGCGATTCCCAGTAAAAGTAAATGAATATATAACAGAAGAGTATCCAATCACGGCAGGTGTTTCACAAGGTAATGTTCTTGGACCAATGTTGTAGATACAGTTCACCGCAGATATTCTTACAAGCGTCAAAGTAATTACTTCAACATTTGCGGATGATACTGCTATACCAAGTCGACATAAATGCCACATTACAGCCACAAAAGTGTTACAGCAGCACCTTAAACTAATTGAAGAATGGTTAGAGAAATGGCGCATAAAAGTTACTGAAAGCAAGTACAAACACATCACTCTCACCTTAAGGCCAAAAACGTGCCCTACTGTTAAGCTCAACAATGTGTCCATACCTTAAGCTGACAAAATTACATACCTCGGAATCCACTTAGTCAGGCGTTTTACCTGGAGATGATAACATGCTTCTAAAAAGCTGCAGCTTAAACTCAAATCTGGCTTTCAAACAAGAAATTTGAACTTAGCCTTAGCAAC